TCCAGTATCTTTGCCAAGAAAACCCCATGAACAGAAACAAAAGGCTAAAAGATATGATGCTGGAAGATGAGCCCCTTAGGTTGGAAGGCGTCCAACATGCTACTGAGGAAGAGTGGAGGACAAGTACAAGTAGCTTCAGAGCTAATGAAGTGGTTGGGCCAAAGTTGAAAGGATGCTCAGCTGTGGACATGCCTGGAAGTGAAAGGAAAGTCTGACACTGCAAAGGAAAATACTGCATAGGAACTTGGAATGTAAGATCTATGAACCTTGGTAAGCTGGATGTGGTCGAACAGGAGATGGCAAGAATAAACATTGACATCCTGGGTGTCAGTGAACTACAGTGGACAGGAATGGGCGAATGCAGTTCAGATGATTACCATATCTACTATTGTGGGCAAGAATCATATAGAAGAAATGGAGTAGCCCTCATAGTCAGCAAAAGAGTGGGAAAAGCTGTAATGGGATATAATCTCAAAAATGATAGAATGATTTCGATATGCAGACCTTTCAACATCACAATAATCCAAGTTTATGCACCAACTACCAATGCTGAGGAGACTGAAACTGACCAATTCTATGAAGACTTACAACACCTTCTAGAACTGGCATCAAAGAAAGATGTTCTTCTCTTCTAGGGGATTGAAATGCTAAAATAGGGAGTCAAGAATTGATGCTTTGGATTGTGATGCTGGAGGAGGCTCTTGCGAGTCCCCTGAACTGCAAGGAGAACAAACCTATCCATGTTGAAGGAAATCAGCTCAGAGTGCTCACTGAAAGGACATATCCTGAAGCTGAGGTTCCAATACTTTGGCCATCTCATGAGAAGAGAAGACTCCCTGGAAAAGACCCTGATGTTGGGAAAGTGTGAGGGCAGGAAGAGAAGGGGACAACACAGGATGAGATGGTTGGACAGTGTCATCGAAGCTACCAACATGAATTTGACCCAACTCTGGGAGGCAGTGGAAGACAGGAAGGGCCTGGCGTGCTCTGGTTCATGGGGTCACGAAGAGTTGGACACGACTTAACAACTAAACAACAACAATGAAGACTAAGTCTTTTGGTGAAACTAGAATGGGCCATTAATACATAATCCTGGCTGTGTTTTCATCAGGATGTGGCCAGAAGCCATGGAGACATTTTGTTTTTATCTGCCACCCTTTAGGCACATTGAAGTGTCAGAGGTAGTTTGTGGAAGATAAAGTGAAGCTTTTATCAAGCTGCATTTTTCTACCTTTGGAATACACAGGCTTGTGTCCAATAAGGATCATCTTGCTGGTGGAAGGAGAAGTTAGGCTGCTTCCCTACCCCAACTTTCTTTCTCCTGTGTTGCCCTCATCCTCCATTCATTTCCGAAACATTAAGGATATGGTGAGAACACAGTAAAACTTTGACCCCGCCAGTATCCCCTTTATGCCCCCTTTTGGTTCACCCAGATTTTAAGTCTCAAGAGAAATATGCACAATTTAAGGAGTGGAAACAAACTGGAATGTAGAATTACTGACTTATTTGAATCAGGGGAACCAATCACTATTGGGAAAATAGAAGAAGGGAACCAATCACTATTGGGACTATAGAAGAGAAAACAAAGCAAATAAAAACCAATTGGCTACAAGTAAAACAAATAAGAAGTTTCACTATTCACTTACAAAAAAACCTGGCTTTCTAAGAACATGAATGCAGAGAACCTAAAACAGTATGTGCAACAAATTTAAATATTAATATATCTGAGGAAATCTGGACAGGAATATGCAATAAGTACCCATATAAATCTATATCAGCAAATGTGAAATAAATGGTTCTGAAGGTCGTGCATTGGTGGCATTTATATCCTACAAAGTTACAAAGAATTAATAAAGATATATCGGATAAATGTTAGAGGAACTGTGGACAAAAAGGAACTGATAATTACATGGATAGAAATGCTGACCAATCAAAATATAGATATGAATGAAACATTATTGTTATTTTCCTTATTTACAGGGGGAAATGAGAAACTTGAAAATAAAGCATTAGTTGCAAATCTTATGGGCACCGCAAGACCTGAGATCACTAGAAATTGGAAAAACGCTCAAGATCTCTCATTACAAGCATTTACGAATAAGATATGGCATACAATGTTGATGGAAAAAATGACAAATAAAGTTAAACTATATACAGGAGAAATAAGGCACAGTCAATTCACTGAAAATTGGAAGCCTTTATTAAAATATGCCAATAAAATAAATTTTGAGACACGTGATTTGGAAAACAATTTGGAGCATTTAGATTGTTGATTGATATTTCTTTAAGATGAGACGGGGAATGGTGTAAATGTGATTTTGAGAAATGTGGGGAATAGCAATTGGTCAACAGTTAAATTATATAACAAGTAAGATGACAGTTTACTATGTTAAGCTTTGTATTTATTACTTGTAACATGATAAGATTGTTTTTTCTTTAGAAATTAAAAAAGTGATACAACAGAAACTGAAACAAATACACACACCCAACCCCACCATTACCTTGGTACAGATTCTCCTGTGAAGACGAAACTGAGTTTTCTGCCACTTTCTCATGCAGCCTCTTCCTGACTGCATTACTTCTGTCAAGAGGGTCATGTACAGTGTCTTCAGCAATTCCTTGTTCTACCTATAAATAATATACAGCAGTGTCAAGAGATGAAATACACATAATTGTGCCCATAAGCATAGGGATAATTTCATCTGATGTGTGCTGCCCTACCCTGCTTCAAATAATAGCATTTTCTACAGCTTTTGTGTGATACACAGGCACCGAGGAGGGACTTGGGTGCTGTGTCAAGCACCGCATAAGAATGGCATAGAGTTCTTTCTTATACTTTAGACTGATGATTCTTAACCTTTGTTACTTGGATGCTTTTGAACTGCAACTCCCAGAAACCCTAGTCAGGACAGCTGGTGGTGAAGGCTTCTGGGAGTTGCAGTCCAAAACTCCTGAGTAACCCAAGGTTAAGAACCAGTGCTTTAGACACACCTGCTGGGGAGCTTTGCTCTATTACAGATTCAACTTTGCAAACATCCTGACCCATCTTTGCCATCTGAGTGACCAGAACAGGTAACGCAAGCATGACACAGGCATGACAGGGAAAATTGGGAATGCACCAAATCCCAAATTCTGTCAGACTTCAGTCCCACCACCACCGATACCTGCATAATGGTCCACCAGCTGCAGAAGTGTCAGAATTTCTAAAAAACCCACAAATTTAACTCAGTTGCCAAAATCATGTTGTAGAATTGCACACTGTAAATAGACAATTAGCATAAGTGGCATGTGCAGTTTTGCTGTCTGTCTGTGACATGCTTGCACTTGCTTCCTCTCTCTGTGCCCATGCCATGCAATCTTTTGATCATATGTTATGACACAGGTAGCATATTGTTAGAAGCTAAATTGCAGAATATTGCGGAACATGGTATGTACATTGTGACCAGCGCATAATCTTGTATTAAAAGGTACTGCCAGTGACTGAGCCATAGGAGCTCAGTTATTTCCAGGAAATGAGCCATGTTACAGTGGGGTCTTGACTTGAGAACTTAATCCGTATTGGAAGGTGGTTCTCAAGTCAAAAAGTTCTCAGGTCAAATCTGCATTTCCCATAGGAATGCATTGAAAACCATTTGATCCGTATCTGCTCTTTTCCGTCCATAGAAACTAATGGGAAGCTGCTATTCTGCCTTCGACCACTAGAGGGGGATATTTTGTTTCTTTTTTTCTTAGGTCAAGAAAGGTTCAGGGAAGGCAGGGAAAATACAGTCCAGGCAGTACAGTACCAGGCAGTCTGAAGACTGTCTCCCAATCCACTCTCTAAACGCTGGGAGGAGTGAGGAAGCAGACAGGCACCCTTTTCACTGGCCAACAGTTAACTGAAAGTTCAAATTTTGCACTTTCCCTGCCTCCCACGTGGGTTTTTTTCAGTTCTTAACTCAAATCTAAGTATGTAAGTCAAGTAAATATTTTCCTATGAGAGTGGTCTTAAGTCAAAATGTTCTTAACTCAAGCCGTTCTTAAGTCAAGACCCCACGGTAGCATATTGTTAGAAGCTAAATTGCAGAATATTGCGGAACATGGTATGTACATTGTGACCAGTGCATAATCTTGTATTAAAAGGTACCAAGTGGTACCAAGCCTGAAGGCATTGTGGAAGTAGGTGAATAAAGGCAACAAATATCTCAGTGCTGACAATATAAAGAAGTAGCCAGGAAACCAGGGAGACCAGAATAGTGATAGCATGATGAGGTTTGAGACCAGTGGTGTCAGTTATAAGGAGGTGGCAAGGAATAATCATAGTGCTAAGATGTCCCAGACAGTCAGACAGTCATCTTATATCGCAAAGGAGGATGACAGCCTCAGGAATGCAAACAATCACTTCAGTATTGGGTGGCTTCCTGGCCACCTTGGCTCTGGCCAGCTGGTGATGTTGCTCATGGTGGCGGTGCGGAAGCTCTAGCAGTGGTGCAGTGGTTAAACAGCTATACTGCAGCCAAAACTGTGCTCATGACCTGGGGTTCAATCCCAGGTAGCTGGCTCAAGGTTGACTCAGCCTTCTATCCTTCCGAGGTCAGTGGGGGAGGCAATTTGTAGCCCGCATATTTAATTTGGTATATAAGCACACTTAGCTTTGTAAGCAGCACACTTAGTTTAGCATAGTTCCTTTTTTGCTGCATGTGAAGCTTGTAAGCTGTTCCCCAACCCTCATGCTGTCAGTAGAAATGGGAAGCCTCCCAGCACTGTTGGGCCAGCAGCTGCTCCATATCGTGCTTCAATGTGAGGAATCATATTAAAGCAATACATGTAAAAATGTGGTTTTGTACTTGTTTTCAGGTAACCTGCATTTAAAAGCTTGTTGCAAGTTATCTGCAGGTGTTCTTTCCATTACAGTGGTGCCTCACTAGACGATGTTAATCTGTTACACTGAAATCACTGTCTTGTGAAAACATCATCTAGCGAAAAGCGTTTCCCCATTGGAATGCATTGAAACCCATTTAATGTGTTCCAATGGGGGAAATAGTTGTTGTCCAGCAAAAATCGCCCATAGGGAAGCCATTTTGTGAAGCGGCGATCAGCTGTTTAAATCACTGTCTTGAAAAGCATCGGTCCCAAAAACACCCATTTTGCGAAGATCGGCCATAGGGAAGCCATTTTGCAGAGCCGCCGATCAGCTGTAAAAATCGTCGTCTTGCGAAAAAACAGTCTGCGAAGCACGGACCAAATCATCATCCAGCAAAATCCCCTATAGGAAAAACCATTTTGCGAATCGCAATAGCGATCGCAAAAAGTCAACGTCTAGTAAAAAAACGTTTTGCGGAGTAATCGTCTTGCGAGGTACCACTGTATTGCTCTCTTTTGTGCTTTTCAGAGTGTTTTTTTCTCATTCTTCTTTTTTCTTCCTCAACTTTTGTGTCTGGCATACCCAGGATACTAATCAAGTTATGCCCATGTGCCAGTAAAGGAAGTAGCCTACCAATATAGTTTGACTGTAGGATTGTTTAGTCCATTTGGGACTTTGAATGTACAGTTACATGGAGTTTAGAGTGTGGAGCCAGAAAGACACATAAGCAAGAGCTGAAAGGACATTCATGTTGCAGAAAAGAGATGGGGCCAGTCTTTCCATGTTTGTGAAATAAGGCTTCAAAGGCATTCTTTCCTTAAGGCCTGAAGACCAGTCGTCAAACAAAGAAGCTAATCCGGAAAGAGAGAAGCTAATGGTGTGAAATTCCCACCTCCATTCATTAAGTACTTCTGATCTATTTCTGGCCTGAGGATGCAACTATATTGGCAGATAATTCAAGAATTGTTCTGCGATTCAGATGGCCAGCAAAGCACCCTGTAGTTTTTTAACT